CATTTGTATTTGTTCTGTTTGGTCCATGTTATGAGTAAGACAAGCAACCAGTAACCTCTTAAATCTCTTGTATGCATCACCAAGTGACTCTCCTTCCTTCTGTTTAAAATTTACAATATCATATCTTTTGCGAATATAAATAGAAGTTTGAAAGTACTCATTCAAGAAAGTCATATCCATCTCCTCCCAAGTAGTAATACTCCCGGCAGGTAAAGAGTAGAACCACTCTTCATCATCTTCGGAAAGAGTGAATGGAAACATTCATAACTTTTTAGCTTTTTCCAAATGCCCCTCAATCTTTAATGTTGTACTCATCGTAAGAAACCTCTATAAATGCTTATTTGCATCTTCATTGTTTTTTCCAGTAAAAGGTCTCTTTTCGAGCTGACGAATTGTTGTAGGGTGCAATTGAAAGTTTGATACATTAACCAGTTGATTCACGATGGTCAACTGACCTGCTGGAGCATTTGCTCCTCCATAATCACCTAGAAGTCTCTCTGCTGGTGGAAGGTCAGCCATTATCATAACTTCTGGTTGTGTCTCTGTATCTGTGTTGGACTCTGAACTAAAATGCTCTGAATAAACCGAAATTTCTTCTTCTAACGTTTACAGTCTGTCCTATTTCACTTGACGGTGTCTCGCGTGCAGTGATCTTTCTAGCTCTGTGTAAAAAACAAACTCATCTGAGGGTTTTCCTCGCATACACAGATTAGAGAAATATTAGTTATAATAGAAATTAATCTAAAAACTAAACAGGAAATAAAATTTTAGTCGTAGAGGAACAAAATTTCGATTGAATTAAAATTCAGCTTATATTTTGGCAGTCCCCGACAATGGCGTCAAAAACTTGATCAGTAAAATAGAAAGTGTATTATTCTGCCGATTGTAGTTAAAATAGGGGATTTATCCCCAGTATCGATCTCGAGGACTGCGTCAGACAATCAAGCGTAATTTGAATTCAATCAAACAAAAATCAATTAGGGGTTTTAAAATTGGTTTAACTATTATAAAATATAGTATTTAAAATAAAGCAAAATAATGAGTAAGATTCAACTAGATATGAGAGCATACTAGGGGTAGTGTATGAATTGCATTGTAAAAGTATCAATCCTTATTTCAAAGATATAACCAATTTTCTTAAGTTCTTGACTACAAATTTTGTTTACTCCTAAAACCTTAGTGAGAAAACCTCTTAAAATTATGATCAAATTACTATGTCAATAGATAATTAATTTGAAATCAAGCATTGAAAATAGTTTCAACAGTATTCAAGTGCAACAAGGTGTTCCTAGTTCTAGGAAATATCTACTGAAGCATTATCGATCAAATTGTGTTAATAATGGTTTTTCTGACCTAAGGTTTACCTTAAAACTAGATCAATTTGTCCGATTGAAAAAGTTATAAAATCAATGAACGATAAAACTTGATTAATAAAATAAGTGCTTGTGTCATTCAAATGAGGAAAATAATATCAATATATTAGCAATTCAGGGACACCCCCCTAATGTTCGGGGGTTTAGCTTCTCATAATATTGAAAGTAAATTCAACAATTAGATTAAATATTACAAGAATGTTTGGGATTACTTTGATCTTCAATTTCTCCTGCGCATGAAAATCTCTCGTTCTCCCTTCGTTCTTGATCGCTCAATCTTTTCTCGTCAATTCCGTATCTGGTCTAAAAGTCCTTTTTTTTCTTTTTCCAATGCATCTTAAATACCAATAGATCTAATACAGTAGTCAGGAATTTCCAAAAATACCCTCAGGGGTCAAAACAGTCAAATAGTCAGAAAAATAAGGGATGACATGTGCAGGCCAACACGGGCCGTGTCAGCTGACATGGGTAGCCGTGTTGGCTCCCTGTTCCAATAATCAAAGAATTAACAATGCCTGACTTGCTGACACGGGCACCCGTGTCAGCCCCCTTCTAATTCCTCAAAAATGCCTTCATAGATCTTCTCCTGACACTAGGGATGCTCGTGGTTGGTTTATTCACTAAACTCATCCATATCCAAAACAAAACCATTTATTTTAACTGGTTGTCATAACCAATCCATATAAATGGTTTTGTTTTTACAAAACCAATTATAAACCGGTTATATCCGTAACCAAATTTTATAACCAGTTATATATTGTATATCCGGTTTTGGAGTTCATATCCAATTTTCAACTTAAAACCGGATTTGAATATAAAAATCCAATTTTTAAAACTGGACATTCATTTTTTAACAACCGGTTTTTCAACTAAAATCGGTTTTTGACTTAATTCACCATCTACCATTACAAAGCACTGCAATAACTAAATTCACCATCTACCATTACAAAGCACTGCAATAACTAAATTCACCATCTACCTTTTTTTAAAAGTATATTAAAATTGTCAAATAATTAACTATTTTTAAACATGTAATAACACAATAGTAATAACTGGAGGAATATCATAATCTTATGGATGATCCAACAGGAGGAATTCCACTGCCAGCACACAACAGCTCGCCATCCTATGAGACCTGCTGCACAAAAATTTCTGACTGTGTATATCCCCTTAGCATTTGTAAATGCCTGATAGTTTAGGACATCGCCGGATTTGGTGATGCAAAGAACAGCAACTTCAGCACCTGCATCAAAACATCAAGGGACTCGATTTGAGTCAGTAACCACAAAACATTATTGATTTAATTATCACATCAAGAATAAAATAAAACTCAAACTCCACATAACATGTTTTATAAATATAACCAAACAAAGCTAGAATGAGAAAATTGCAATCAAATAACTAGTATTCCAACAAGCAGAACAAAAAAAAAGCTTTACTGACAGACATTAGCAGCCTCTTTGAAATTTGATATTTTTCTTATCATTTTAGGTGACACAAATCTTAACATCAAATACAACAGCCTGCATTCATCCTTTTCACAATTCCTAATTCAATACCACTATCTTAGCATTCAATTCAACAAATAATCACTAACAACCAATCCAAATAGTTTAACATGCAGTTTTAACATGTTTTCAAATGCTAATAATGCTAACAGACCCACCAATTCCATATATTCCTGACAATTAAAGCTGCAAACATTTCTGAAAAGGATGCTATTGTGGATATTTTGGCTAAGATAGTGGTATTGAATTAGGAATTGAATGAAAAGGTAGTGGTATTGAATTAGGGTGAATGCAAGGTTGTTGTATTTGATGTTAGCCATTCAATTTAACAAAAGAGAAGGTGTTCCACTATCTTCGCATTCAATTCAACAAACAATCAGTTTTACATTTCTGAAAAGAATGCTATTGTGGAGATTTTGGCTAAGATAGCTACAAACATTTTTGAAGACCTAAACAAAAGAGAAGGTGTTCCACAATAGCATGAGTTCAATAATCAATAATTCCATATATCCCTGACAATTAAATCTGCAAGAAAATACCTGACTGTTAGAAGTCTCCTTTATCTTCAATCCTCATTAAAAGTATCATAAGAATTACCTCCGTTAGATTGGTTTTGCAAAAAATATTCTAAAAAATAAGGTAGAAGTCTTTAAAAAAATTATATGAAATGAATACCATCTTTAATCAAACTTTTTCAATTTATTATTAAATTTAACTTTACCTCGCTCAATCTTCTCAAACTCTTCAATATCATCTTGTGTGGGCAATGGTGAAGGTGATCCGCCAAGCCAATCTTCTGTGCATATAAGTGCTTCCACAGATTTAGCAGTTAGGCGACTGCGATATTCATTGAGCACCCTTCCTCCGGTACTGAAGGCGGACTCAGATGCCACTGTTGAGACGGGTATAGCTAATAACTCTCTCGCAATGTTAGATAGTATTGGAAGTCGACTTGAATACACCTTCCACCAATTTAAGATATCAAAGTTAGGAATATCATCTTCTAATCCATCTTCTAGGTACTTTGTTAATTAAGATTTCACTCCACTTGGTTTGACACCACTTGATTGCAAAAATACCCCATAATAATAGTCGGGATTTCCAATTCGTCCAACTAATACGAGTGGTTCTGCAGAGTCACTTTGAGATCCACCTGTCCCACCACCGTTATACTCCTCAAATATTATTTTCAAATCTAATTCTAATTTATCCTTTAAGAAATCAGCCTCTTTTTTGACAAAGTTTTTTTTGATAAACCAACGAGCATACATCATTTTCTTCCTGGGATCTAACACAAAATAAATTAACAACAACATGTTCAATTTCTCAGGACTTCCCCAGTACTTATCATATTTCTCCTTCATCTTTAAAGCTATTTTACTTTTATGAGTTAAAGATAGATCCTAAGACGAACACATGTCTTTTACAGCCAAACCAATTGAAAATACCTCTGCCAAGTACATATTACTTGTCACGTATGTTGAACCCGATATGCGCAAAGTGGAAGCCTTAAAAACTTCCAAAAATCGAGCGTCCCCACGTGCCTTCTCCCAATATAAAGGAGTAGGAATGTCGCTCCCACTCTCAAGTTCTTGACAATATTTTGTATCAATAATACCAAGCTCAACAAATTCCATTTCAAGTTGTAGAGCAGCCTTCAACATGTTGTATGTTGAATTCCATCGAGTCTCGCAATCAAATTGAAAACTATCTTTGTATTCAATTTGTCTACTTCTAACACATGCCAAAAACTTGTGTTCTCGACCCGGAGAAGACTTAACATACTTAACAGCACCCCTGATTCTAGAAACAGAAATGTCAATTTCTTTTAAACCCTTTTTAACCACTAAATTCATGACATGTGCATAACATCTTGTATAAAAGTGATCTCCATTCAAAACCAAATCATTCCTTAACCTTAGCCTCTTTTTTAGATTTTCAATTCCATGATCATTTGACGCCGCATTATCAACAGTCACACTTAAAACATTATTCAACCCCCAATTGTCCAAGCATTTTGCAACTGTATTTGCTATTACTTCTCCTGAATGACTTAAGACCCTAACAAAACTCAAAATCTTTTTGTGTAATTTCCAGATGTTGTTTATAAAATGTGTTGTTATGCACATGTAAGACATGAAGTCCAACCATCTGTGGTCAAGCACACGCTTCGATAATGTTGGGAAAGAAAGGTCTTCAATTTTTCCCTTTCAAAATCCCATAAAGCCAAAACATCACGTGCTACTGTGCTTTGGGAGATTGGAATAAATCTTGGTTTCAATACACTCATACAACAACGAAAAGCTTTATGATCTGCATGCATATACGGAAGCTCAATTTCCACAATCATATCAACCATTGCCTGCCTACATTTCTCTTGGTCAAATTTTCCTAACACAATTGCTGAAGGAGAAGTCACATTTGTTGTTAATGATGGGGTTGTTTTTAATCTCTTATTTGCTTCACTATTTGGGTTGCTCTTGCATATCTTTGAATGTCCGGCCATGGAACTCGTTCCATTATTGGACTTTAACTTAGAGTCACAATAGTTACATCTGGCTATTCCAATAAAATCTGGATCAAGAGTGAAGTGGCTCCAAACAGAATATTTGTTTCTTCGATGGGGTGGTGCTCGAGTAAAAGTAGTTCCCGAGTTTTGTGTTGTCTCATCCGTCGTAAGATTATTATGTTTGGGCATTTCCTGCTTTTGATAGAACAATCCAATGTTAAATTAATTCAAAACAAACGTGTTATACCCCAAATTTTGACCCCTTAGATTCTCATTATCATTTTAGAAGCATGATCATGAATTATCTAACCCTAAATCAGTGCAAGTTCATTATTGTCAAGTTACAGATGAATCAGGGTTTTCGCACCGACAAATTCAAAACAACCAAGGAATGATCAACCAATGATTTGGGCCAATTCAATCATGGAATGAAATCAAAGATAATATCAAAGTCAAATGAGAAGTCAATTTGAAGAAATCAGTTCAGAATCAAAGACAGTGCAGTCGGGAGGCCCCGATTAGGGTTTTTAACTAGTGAAAAGTCAACTGTGGGTTGACTTTGATGTTGGAAGGTGTTGTAATGGTGGGATTGAGGTCCATGAAGTTCATATAGATTATTAAAGACTATTCAAGAAGTATCAAAGTCTCAGGATGTCCAGAATGTCAACATGCGACTCAATCGGCACCGATCGATCGTACGGTTGACCGAAAAGTCAACTCCTCAAATTTTGAGAATTGGAATCCAAGTTGTGAATCAAAGATTTTCCTTATGTCATAATGGACTTGCATATCAATTTTCATGATCATTGGATCAAGGATGAGAGAGTAATCGAAAAATCGGAAAATTAGGGTTTCAAAAGGGGCCAAACCCTAACTCCTTAACCACACACTCAATTGAGTTGGTTCCAAGCTCATTGGAAATCTATTGGCAAGTCCTACAAAAGTCCCATACTAGTCCACAACCAGAAAATGCATACTTTTTGAGATAGAAGCAAAAACATTCATAGAAGGGAAAATAACTTGGAAAATTTCTAAGTTATTTTCACTTGAAAAGCTTGTGCGCAGCCAACTTTGAGAGGATTTTTCACCTAGTTCCAATTGTAGTTTGATTTCTTGGCAAACATGAATGTTTTAGAGCTATGTGAGGGCTTTCTAAATTGTACTAGAACATCTCAAGAGGAGTTATGAGCAGAAAGTTACATAGGTGCAAAGTTGGAGGTTTCACATGTTAAGTCCCACATTGGCTGAATTTTCAAAATGACTTACTTCACTAAATCTGCCAAAATTTCTTGATTCAACTTGTTGTATGTGATATATCAGATGTGTTTAGCATGAAGCAAGAGCAAGTTGTGGAGAAATATCACAAAATCAAAGGATTGAGTTCATTGCCATACAAGTGGGCAAGTGGACAATTTGAATTCTCCAAGCATGAGGTGGAAAGGTAAAGGCTGTACCAGCCCCTTCCCTATGGTTTCTAGGCTGCAAATCATCTCAGAAATTCAGTAGAAATGTTGACAAAAAGGGTCTTGCATCAGAACAAGTGGAAAACCCTCCCTTGAAGGTTTGCTCCAAAATATCACAAGCTTGCTTCATGATGAAGTAAAGTCTCTAGCAAGCACCTCAATCTCCTTTCCTATAAAAGGAGGTCTCATTCACCTCATTCCACACACAATTCATCTGATAAAAACCATATAGAAGCTCTGTCACCACAATTCTCTCAAATTCTCAAAAACACCAAAGTTCATGAAAACTCCAAAATTGGTCATGAAGTGAAAATAGCTCAAATTCATTTCTATCATTTCCTACACTTCAACCACCCTCCACACAACTTCTAAATAACATATAGAAGGTGTATAATCCATTAAACCACCTAGAAACCTCAAAGATCAAAAAGTCAAACTTCTACCTTTCATACTTTGACCAAAAGCCACATAGTTTGCCAAATCTTGGTCCAGCTTGTTCCTTGGTGTTTTAGCACTTGTAACACCTCCTATATATCATCTTGCAACTGTCTAAAGTCTCAAAAACCAGCTGGAAGGGCTACATCTCAAACTGGTATAAGTGTTGGCTTTGTTGCAACATTCTTGAAAACTAAAAGCAACAAGAACATTCAAAAGGATCTTTGGGTTTCTAGGAGTATTTTAGCTTGCTTAAGGTCGTGATCACAGGTATGTAACTTTTAAACATTGCTCTTGCATCATTTCAATTGTTTTGCATATTTGGCTTTTGGAACATAAAGCATGAACATATGAGATTTCCTTCATGACATTTTGTGTGTGCTTGGTTTATTGGTTTATAAGTTGTTATACATATTTGTTGCTGTATAAAAGAGATGTGTATGCTCTTATCCTCACAAAACATCCTTGCCTAATAAGATAACCATGTTGTTGTTGTATAATGATGTTTATGCTTGTGTTCACATGTCAAAATTACATTTTGTGGGAATGATGTGGTTCTAAGGGTCCTAACAGTTTTGACATGATATTTATGGAGTGTATGCATGCTTGAATGCTTTGTTGTTGCTAGCATAAGTCTTTTTCATTTCAAGAGTTGTTTTTGGCCAAGGATATGCATTTGTCATGGTGATTCCTTAACCTGTTGATTAGGGACATATTTTGATGCTTTGAAACCTTTCTATGTGGTTCATGTAAGGTGTTAGAATTGTTGTTTTGTACAGAGTTGGTACACTTCATGTTGCTCACTTTTTAAAGGCACTTTTCACATATTTTCAAGCATAACATACCAGTTCTGGTTTTGGGTACATTTCAAACTTAATTACTTGTTGAAACACCTCAAGCACATCATTTTAAACATGTCTAGAACCTGGCTTGAGGGTTACGACAAGTAATGAGGATTTTGAACTTCAAGTGTATTTTCAAGCATTCTTTTGCAAAAACATACTAGATTTTGCTCTAGTGTTTTTCCACTCAAACCAAGTGTTTAGACACTTCCAATATGTCATTTTAAAAGTGTTCAAACCATCACTTAATGGTTATAACAAGTATCTCAAGTTTTGACTCTTAAAATGCAAGTTTCAAGTGTGTTTTGCAAATCAAGTACCACTTTCTCAAGCTGTCAATTTCCATGGTATTTGGAGCTTTAAACTCTTTTCATATGATATATAGGAAGTGTAGGACCATTCAAAAAGAGATGGAAAGACCTGAAACCAAACTGTCCAAAAACTCATCTTGAAAATGTCACATTTTGTACTTAACTTCCAATGGTGGAAGTTATGTGTTATTTTTGACTTTTTTTTCAAAAATGTCACTTTTTGCTCAAATTTGCAATTGTTATGCTAATTGTCATGTTATTTGTTTTTTCTCACATGTGATGTTTGAAACATCTCATATTGATCATTTGTAACATGTTTGCATAATCATTTCATTGAAAATCACCCTGTCATGAAAAATCACTTTGCAAATGCATGATTGTCACATACACATCCACACACTAAGCCACTTTTTGCATAACTCATTTTTTCACTCAAACCACATTGCACACACTTCACATTAAACATTTTTAAGATGTGGACATGATCATTTTGCATCAAAACTGGATGCACCTAAATCTCACTCTTCAAATGCTCATTTTCATCACAAAGTGACAGCACACACCATTTTTTGCATTATCTTGTTTTGAATTAATTTGCTTTCTCTAACAGCTTACATTGGTCATTTGTAATGTGTGTGTATGATCAAAAGACTTTAAAACCATTTGAACACAAACACACACCACATAATGCACATGAGCACACAATAAGCATGATGAATACCAAAACACTACACAGTCAGTACAGACCTTTGTTTTTCAATTAAACTCACTCATTAACATGTAATAAAGGTGTATGGAAGTTTGTCATGATCCATTTTTGCTTTGAAACTGAGATACCTCAAATCATGCATATCACTTATGTCACTTTTTTGCAAATTACACATGACTTTTCATAACAGTTCAATTTTAACCATAAAGTTAATTTGGATTCACTCATTTTTACTTACCTGTGATGTGTGCATAGCTGTTTTGGTTTGAGGTCAAGTGTATCATAGCATCTACATGAAAATGCATCTCATTACACGTTAAGAACAACAGCTATCGGGTTTTGCATAGGTTTGAGAATTTTCAAAAACTGAGACCACCATTAGATTCCTTGTTTGATTCTACCCCAAATCCATATAAATTTTGTTCCATTCCGATAAACGGTTAGGGAGATACGATACAAAACGTAAATGCTCGGTTTATTCTTTCTTGCCCAACCTGTCATGAAACTTACCCTTATAATTAATTAGGGGTGGCTTCATCAATGGATGTATAGCCACCCCAGTGGTATGACCATGCGCCTTTCACCCATTGTTCCTGAGTTCGACCCCTGAGGAGGGCAACTTTTTTATCCATTTTTGTGATTTTTCATGTAAATTTCAAAAATTCATATCTCACTCGTTTTTCATCATTTTTCGTCCGTTCTTTTTTCGTTATGTTTATTTTAATGTGTACTTTAATGTCATGTTTTTATTTTTCATGTTTGACCAAATTTTCATCCCTTTTGACCATGTGCGAAATGCGCGTTTACAGTACTCATTATGACTGTTGCATATGAATTTTATGTGATTCCACTTAAATTTATTTGTGAAATTTATTTGTATTAATATCCACACATGTTAGTTAACATGTTAGAATTTTTTATTTTGAGTTGTAACCATGTTCATCTCTTCCCCCTGTTGACTGTATTGGAATGCGATCCGTCGTCACAGTTCTCGTTATTTTTCATCTGCTTTGATTGTCATCATTGCATTTTCATCCTTATCAATTTCATGTGCTTATTTAATGGTTGTCACTATGAACCCATGATAGATACCTCCTGAGTTATGAGGTTAAACTAATTCATCTGTACATAACCCTACCTCCTGAATTACGAGGTTAAACTGATTCGCCTGTACATAATTTACCTGTGCATTTTGTCTGTACATAACAACCTTTACTCCCCTTTATCCTAGCCTTAGGATTTGAGTCGCCGTACTCATGATTACTGTCCCGCCGTGGACATTCCATCATAACAATCTTAACTTAGAAAAGGAGTCGCCGCACTCCATGTAAGTACTTCCCTATGAATACTTACTTCCCTTTGGAAACCTTGACCATAGTCAAGAGTTCCTCATCCCTAGATAGGGGAACTACGATTTCTCTGATTCCAT